AATGGAACACTAGTTATAGTCTTAAGCTGATTTCAACTTCGTACTTAACAACTACACAAGACTCCCCTGAGACGAGCAAAAGATGAACCTACTCTAGTAAACTGGTTTATGAGAGTGGACATTCTTAAATATCTGAAATTTGAGCAGAATCTATGCATGCATCTATGCATTGCTACCACCCAGAAAGCAAACAGGAGGTTTCCACTCAAGAGGCCACCCTCTCTCCCTCACCCTCANATTAACCCAGCTGCCTTGTTTCACCTGAAATTTCCGAGTGTTGAACCCTTCTGCAGTTCCACTTGCCACTCGCTGATTTTTTCATCAGCACTGAGCGCAAAGAAGGTGTGTGCCGAGTACCAGATCAGAGCACCAATGTGGCCTGGAGCCTGGTGTATACAACAAGTTCAATTCAGTATTTCTAAGGAGACAGGACTAACCCTCTTTCCCCTCTCAAGAATATATGCAGTCTCTAACCCTGCATGTACCATTAATGCATAGCAGGGCAGAATTCACATAAACAAAGAACAGAGGTTGCCCCAACTCACCTGTGCTGTGGCCACAGTCTTAGCTTCCTGCCACAAGATTAGTTCCCCAGCTTGATTTCCAGACACTGCCATGGAACCATCTGGTGCCCAGGCCATAGCAGTGATGGCTGAGGAACTCCTGGGTATGTATGTGTCATCTGGAGAAGAAAGGAAGTGATTCATTAGGATATATCTAGGATATTAGAATATTAAGAAGAGATATAAGGCTACCCATGACCTTCTTTGTCCCAGTAACACAAGCCTCTTTCATACTTTGCCTTTCTCCACACCTCACTCACCTGCTTCCTTAGGTACCTGCCAGAGCCGTATGGTACCATCCTCTGAGGTAGTCAGTAGGAGGCCTGAGGTTTCTGAAACAGCAGCTGCATTGACTGGGCCACTGTGTCCCAGGAGGCTGTGTGTTTGGTACACCTAGGAGGAAGGGATGGAGATGGGCCAGAGGGGGTTGACACAACAGGTTGTGCCACATACCTTCTCCATCCCTTTCCCCCAGTCCTTGCCAGGAACTCACCAAAAGGGGATGCCACAACCTTATGGCCCCATCCAGTCCAACAGTTGCCACCAGAAGCTCTGACCCAGGCTGTCCAGCTGATAAGACAGAGACTGAGTCAAGAGAAAGGAACAGGCAGGGGAGAAGGGGAGGTGGCTAATGTTTCACTACCTGCGCGGGGCTCCAGGGCAGCTGCACAGTGGCTGATGGGTCCCGAGTGAGCACAGATGCTGGTCAGCTCCACACCCTGATGGTCCCACACTTTCAAGGTCCCATCCCGGCTCACAGACACCACGTGCTCCTCCTGCCCCAGAGACAGGATCAGAGCAGGGTCATACTGAGCAGGGCATAGGAAGTAGGACTCTCTCCACAGAGGTGTGGGCTGAGCATTAGAGGCTTGGAAGAGGTCAAAGACGGAGGAGAACTCAGAAACAGTGAGATTGGATGGCTCAGGACTTGCAATCCTGCCGCAGAGTCATGATACTAAGATACTATATTTTCATGTTTCCCTCTCTCTCCTTTCACACCAGCTCTCAGTCTGAACACCATAATCCAAGCCCAAGCACCTCATTCTTTATACTCCTTTCTCCTTTGGGATTAGACACCCAATGCATGCAGTCTCCCAAAGCCCCCTTATCCCTCCCAGAGATGCCAGTGAGCTCTCCATTGCCTTCTTTTTTTTTCTCCCCAAAAGATGACCGGTAAGGGGATCTTAACC